TCGCTCTAAAGACATGTATCGAATGGCACTCCTCTGTGGCAGCAAACAGAATTGAAACTGCATTGTCCACCCTTTTCTAAGTATGCCTGGAGGCAGGAGCAGAGGACGTGTCAGGCACCTGAAAATAAAGCCGGGCCAGCACCTAGGGACCCCGTGTTTCCCCATTCCTGACCCAGCTTCCACTTGCACTTTTGCCAACCCTACTGGGCACCACCAAGCTAACTTTCCTTACAAGTACCTCACTTCTTGGACTTTACCAGCTTTCGAATTCCATTGAATCTTGAGAGTTGTGTGTCCCTTTCTTTCCTGAAGCAGTTCCTTCCATCAGAACACTACCAACATTAAGTTGATGACGAGAAATAATAAATACTGATAAGCTAACAGTATCTCTCCTCCCAGCAAGTGCATTGATGTATCAATAGGGTCTTTCTGGACACATTGGCTCAACTGAAAGTAGCAATTTTGAATTGTGGCAATGACGGGCACCACCGTGGCAGGCCAGTGGAAGGGAACCTCTGTAGGGACAAGTCTTTGTCTCTCAGGTGACAAGTCTTTGTCTCTCAAGTAACGGAGGCTGTCAACTTTGCCAGGGAAGGCCCCAGCACAGAGCATGCAACCACCCATAGGGCTAACTGTATCAGTCCCCCTAAATTCTCATGGGACTGTTATACCTTAATCAGCTATAACATTTCAACATGATCAAGGAGGCCTACATCAACCATATGAAATTAGATGTCTTAGTCGGTTCTGGCTGCCATAGCAAAATACCACAGACTGAGTAGCTTATAAGCAACAGAAATTCATTTCTCACAGTTCTGAAAGCTGGAAGTCCAAGATCAGCATGGTCAGAAGAGGGCCCTCATCTGTCTCACAGACTTCTCATTGTGTCCTCACGTGGCAGAAGGGGAGAGTCTAGCTCTCTGGAGTCTCTTTTATAAGGACACTAATCCCAATCGTGAGGGCTCTGCCCTCATGACCTAATCCCTTCCCAAAGGCCTCACCTCATAATACCATCACCTCGAGCATTAGGTTTTCAACATATGAATTTGGGGGGAACATAAACATTCAGGCCACAGCAGATGTGAAGAAAAATATTCTGCAAAACTGCCCAAGTTTTGGTTCTTATACATGCTTTTGTAAAACAGACAGTAACCAGATTGGGGAAGCTATGCTTGACTATTCACGAATGCCTTCGACTTGCCGCACTGCAGCATGAAGCATCAATAAATGATGACCCCCTGTTTGTCCTCAGTTCTGGGTTCTCCCTGCTGCAGGGAAATGTGCATCTATCCCCAAAAACTGAGCTGTCTGTAGCCACATTCTCCTTACTTTCCATGCCTCTCAGAACTGTGAGGGCACAAAAATAGAATGTTGTCATGCCAAAGGGCTGGTGCAAAATCTAATAACGGGAAGAATATCATGGACTCAAAGATACATTCATTCTTGCAGGACATGATCGTTACAAGAAGAGATCAAATATGAGAGGCAACAAATAAACGGTCTCATGAGTCCTGGTGTTGACTTGAGCTTCCATAGATCCTTCAGGCTGTACTCTGGGCATTCATAGATTTGGCCTCAGGATGTACTCTGGAGTGACACAATAGCCATTTCAACTGTGTTTTTCAGTTTAAGTTTCTCTAAAGTTACCCTTTGAATATACCAAAAGGAGAAAATGTTCTTTAGGACATAGGTGTATTATTCCTTATTTTTATTATAAATGGCTGAGCGTCAGTGGGCACAGTTAGAATCTGGGTATTTGGCAGTATCTTATTGTTCCTGGATGCTCAGACTCCAAGGGGTAGCCTTCTCAAGATAAGCTATCGCAGACAGCTTCTAATAAAAGAGTCTTGGCCAGCCGGGCACTGCACACAGCATCTAAAAGAAACAAAGCTGTCCTCTGACTCAGCACAGGTACAGTTGCAGGAATCATTGTCTAAAATGTTGAAGGGCAACACTAGAATCGACGGTCACCTTTCAGCTCCTCTCAACTTCAGAGCCAAGAAAGGGCTGGCCTGCACTTGCTGCCATTTATTCCAATGGACTTTAATACTTAGGTAGAGCTTATGGAATCAGCACATACAATCAAATGTCAGTAATAATCAATCCAATGCCACATTTTAGAAGTTATATCAGGAAGACAATCTCAGAATCTAACAAGAATTTATTAGTAAACCAGATATACTAGCACAGAAGTGCTGCTTAATTGCAAAAATAAAGAGATATAGTTCAATGACTTTTTAAAATTTTAATTAAGACATTTTTAGGGCAGTAAATACTGTGAAGCTTTATGGAAAAGAATTTGCAATGCACTCTGTGTTTTATTATTAATTATTTACTGAATATTGTAAAGTCAATTTTGTTTAACATATAGATGAAAACATGGAGCTTATTTGGGGGACCAACAATTTAAAAGGGGTAAACCAATTTTTACACAAATACATCATGCATAAGTTTTGAATACCTGAAAGATGGCTGAAATATAAGTTTCTCAGTATGTTTCTATTTCTCCTTTTAGAGGCTGACAGATAGAGCCTTTGGTTTATGGAACTTGGAAAATTACCTGCAGGAAGGAGAATAATTTTAAGCATATCATACAAGACTATGTTAATTGGAGGACAAAAGAGATGAAAAGGAGTTTTGTTTTTTTTTTTTCTACTTTCGAGCAACAGTAGTAGAGGCAGTAAGAGAATAATAATAATACCAATGAGGCAGGGCTGCCACCGTCCTAAAGGTGCTTGTGCTGGATGTCTCAATTCCTCCTGAGACCCACTGTTCATCCCTCCACCTTGGTTTGTGCCCTGAAGGAGAAACTCCTGAGTCCTTCATCTCCTGGGACTGCATAACCTGGCAGTCCTTTTTTGCTGCTGGCTTCCATTTAGATTCAGTCAATGGAAGGCAGCAGCCAGAGTTCAGAAGGAGAGACTAGAGTGCTCAGGGTACCATTCTCTGGGCTCCCTCCCTGACTACGGGCCTTGGTTTGGCAGTTGCTGTGTCATTTGGCCCCTGTCTGTGATTTTACCACCTTATGCCTGTTTCCTTTAACCTCATGCATATCTTTGTAAATAGTCTCTTCTTTAAACTCTCTTTATTACTCATTGAGTGTACCCTTATTTCTTACCGGGACAGACAAATATAGAACCTTTGTAGAAATTAGAAAAAGGCATTTAGATGGGTACATGGGCTTCATTATACTGTTATCATCTCTTTGGTATATATTGAAATTCTCTAAAACAAAAGGATTCAAAAGAAAATAAAAGAAATACCTTGCAGGTGAATAGCTCCGTGGGCACAGAATTCGGGCTGGATTTCAACCCCAATTCACTCCTTCGGCAGGTGACTTTAAGTAGTGTGCAAAATGCCCAGCCGAACTTGGCAGCCTTACAAAAGGATGGACAGATCTCTAAAAGCTGGAAAATATCTTAAGGAGAAAGTGAAGATTGACATGGGCTTTCCAGGATATTTGAGACTTAGATGAACAAGTGTATTGTAGGCAAGGATAAAATATATACAGTACAGACAAGCATAAGACCTACACAGGGAATAAATTCCGTAAGGCAAGAGAGGTCCCTTGAAGGGAGTATTGCAGTATATGAAAGCAGAGATGAGATGGAAACAGGCTTTGCTTGCTGAGGTATAAAGTGTGAATTGTAGCTTATGATCGACCAGGCAGTATGGTGAACTATTTGGGCACGTGGGTTCTGAAGTTAGACTGTTCAGTCTTTAGTCATAGTTTTGACATCTATTAGCTCTGTGACTTTACACAGTTACTTTTACTCACTAAGCCTCAGTTTTCTACTTTACAAAATTGGGATACAATAGTACTACCTCCTAGATTTGCTGGGAGACTGAATTTTAAAAAGCATGTAAAGTGGTTGGCACAGCACCTGGCTTTAGTAAGTTCTCAGTGGACATTAGCTACTACCATCAAAAGTTTTTAAACAGAAGAGTGACGTGATGAAAGCAACATTTTATGAAGATTAACTAGACAGTGTTTGCAGATTGTACTAGAAAGGAAAGACAGAACAGAGAAGTCAGTGCAAGCCTGCTGTAGCCTTCTGCACGCCAATGAGGGACACGGGAAATGGGAGAGGAGAAGCAGGTGGGAGAAGCTTTGGGAGAAGAGCAGGAGGAGGAAACTGACAGGTTATGAGAGTAAGAAGTCAGGAAGGGCTCCAAGCACTTCTCTGAGATATTTAGTCTCCCCTGGTATAAATACAGCTTAGGCAATTGCAGCTTAGGCAATTGACATTGAAGGACTGACAATTTTGACATTTTAGTACAAGTAAAAGAAATATTAATATAAATTCACCATTTTAGTACAAGTAAGAGAATTAGAGAACCATTTGATTTTACCCTCTATTTTACCCAATGTTGAATTAGACCCCAGATTCTATTATAAAATAAAAGCTCTGATAGACACCTCAAATATTCCAGTAATCACGGATGACTCCTCAAACTTTTTTATATCTCGTTTTTATATCTGGTTTTTTATATCTGGAAGTTTCTTCTGATTAAAATCTAAGAAAAGGCCTCAGTTGAGAAAGAGGGTTCTCATAAAAGA